AAAAAAAAAAAAAAAAAGATAACTCCCGTGCTACACCTAGGGCAATAGGGATGCCCTGGCAGCCTTGGGAGGGCCGATCTGGGGTGCGGTGCTTACAGGGAGGTGGCAAGGCCAGCTGATTCCATCTTCAGTCCCCGGGGACTTGCAGCTGGGTATGGACTAGAACCAGAGGAGGGCAGGTGTGTGAAATGACCCCTGACCCCACCCCTGGGTGCAGGTGGAAGGCCCCACTGTGCCTCCAGGCTGGTATCCCCTCTTGCCCCATAGGCCTGGGCATGTGCTTCAGCTTCCAGTCAAGTGTCACGGTGCTGGGCTTCTATTTTGTCCGCCGGCGGGTGCTGGCCAACGCGCTGGCCTCCATGGGCGTCTCCCTGGGCATCACGCTCTGGCCACTGCTCTCCCGCTACCTCCTGGAGGACCTGGGCTGGAGGGGTACCTTCCTTGTCTTCGGCGGGGTCTTTCTCCACTGCTGCATCTGCGGGGCCATCATGAGGCCTGTGGCCACCAGTGTGGCCCCTGAGACCAAAGAATGTCCCCCACCACCTCCCGAGACACCTGCACTTGGCTGCGTGGCTGCATGTGGCCGGACCATCCAGCGCCACCTGGCCTTCGACATCCTGCGGCACAACACAGGCTACTGCGTGTACGTACTGGGTGTGATGTGGTCCATCCTGGGCTTCCCACTGCCACAAGTCTTCCTGGTGCCATATGCCATGTGGCACGGGGTGGACGAGCAGCAGGCAGCCCTCCTCATCTCCATCATTGGCTTCAGCAACATCTTCCTGAGGCCCCTAGCCGGACTGATGGCAGGACGGCCAGCTTTTGCTAGCCACCGCAAGTACCTGTTCAGCCTGGCATTCCTGCTCAATGGGCTCACTAACCTGGTGTGTGCGGCATCAGGTGACTTTTGGGTGCTCGTGGGCTACTGCCTGGTGTACAGCGTGTCCATGAGCGGCATCGGCGCCCTCGTCTTCCAGGTTCTCATGGACATCGTCCCTATGGATCAGTTCCCCAGAGCCCTGGGACTCTTCACTGTCCTGGATGGCTTTGCTTTCCTCATCTCCCCACCACTGGCCGGTGAGGAGCTGGGAGGGAGGGTAGCCAAATAGTGTGGTACAAGGGGAACAGTTTAGACAGATCTGGGCCCTGTCCAGCATCTCCAGAGGTTTGTGCTACAGCTGATTTCTCACCTGGCACTCAGAGTATGAACAGTTAAAAGCATGGGTTTGTGACTGAATGCGGTGGCTCACGCCTGTAATCCTAGCACTTTGGGAGGCTGAGGCGGGTGGATCACGAGGTCAGGAGATCGAGACTAACCTGGCTAACATGGTGAAATCCCATCTCTACAAAAAATACAAAAAAATTAGGTGGGTGTGGTGGCACGTGCCTGTAAGTTGCAGCTACTCAGGAAGCTGACACAGGAGAATCGTTTGAACCCGGGAGGCGGAGCTTGCAGTGAGCTGAGATCACGCCACTGCACTCCAGCCTGGGTGACAGAGTGAGACTCCATCTCAAGAAAAAAAAAAAAGCATAGGTTTTGTGTACCAGACCTCAGTCCTCCATCATCCTCCCTGTACCTCCTTTTTCCTTTTTGTTGAGACAAGGTCTCGCTCTGTCACCCAGGCTGGAGTGCAGTGGTGCAGTCACAGCTCACTGCAGCCTCAACCTGCCAGACTCAAGAGATCTTCCCACCTCAGCCCCCCAAGTAGCTGGGACTACAGGCACACGCCACCACACCCAGTCAATTTTTTTTTTTTTTTTTT